CGCCCGCAGTCCGCTGCCCGGCCCGGGACTAGTGCTGCGGGGTGGGCTCCTGGTCCGCCCGGGACTCTGAGCTGGAAAGATGTTCTGAGACCCGCTCTCCAACAGCCAATGGGCTCTTAGAGACCCAGTCGGGGCGGGAACTTGCCCGAGGTCGCTCTGGTAAAGCTAGGATTGGAAGTACATTCTCTAGATCCAAGGCTGGCTCCAAGTGCTATGCCCTTTAATCCAGAAGGATGCTTATTTTATTTTATTTTATTTTATTTTATTTTATTTTATTTTATTTTACATTTGGTAGTTTTAAATTTTTTATCATAAAAAAGGGACTGTATGGTTTAAAATTTCAGAGTTTACAAATGAATGTAACTGTGAAAAGAGGGCTTCCCTTCCACCCTGTGTTCCAGTACCCCAACCCAGCGTCTAGAGGCCACACCTGTTATCAGGTTCTTGGTTATCTTTCCAGGAATTTTGTATGCTTATAAAAGCACGAATGGTTGTATAGTTCCTCCCTTTAAACACAGACACACAGAAGTATGCCCTACACATTATTGTGCACTTGGTTTTTCTACTCATGGTATTTGCCGTGGTTTCCCCACCTCCTACCATCTCTGAAATCCAGCGTCTTGTAGAGTCAATGGAGCATAGTTTAATTGGGTTTTTTCCCTCCCTTTGATGCTCCATGAAGTCATGGTGCATCTCACAGTCAGCATTGACTTTGGCTATGATGAGACAGTGATATATTTTGTGTTGTCCTCAGGCTTCTTAATTTTGCAAAGTATTTGATTACATGAAAACCGTAGTTATTTAACCAGTTGGTTTTGGTACTTTTGTTACTACAAATAATGCTCTGTTGGGTGTCCCGGCACACAAGTGTCAGCGCATCTGTGGCTCAGTGGGGTGTGCGTGTTGGGAAGATGAAGTGGAACAGGTTCTTGCGGTCAGATTTTTATTCCTGCAGCCCGGTGCTTGCTCGGAGTCAGGCTCTGTGTACCTGGTCCCTGGCCCAGTCCTGGCAGGGGACCCAGACAAGAAACCCAGGGGAGTCTTGTTTGCTGGACTTTGATATGTGGCCAAATGAAAACATTGGATAGATGAAAGGACTTGTTGACCAGGCTTTGAGTGGCTTTACCTGCCTTCACCCTGCAACCCTCATTTGCCCCGTGCTGTTTTCTTTCTTTTCTGAACTTCTAGAGAAGAAATTCTCTTGGAGTCTAGGAAGACCAGGTACAGCACTCTGGGTGGTTCCTTTTTGCTTTTCAAGCTCAGGTCCTTCTCAGTTTGCAGTCTTTCAGGAGATGTCCTTATCCCCAAAGGGAGTCCCTGTGGAGGCCACTTTATGTGGTGGGCAGAGCAGGGCCAGCTGCCTCACCAGCTCCAACTCTTCCCTTACAAGCAGACACATAGAAAGGGTACAGGCAAGCACCCTGGGAGTGGTGGTAGGTGGTGATCAGGACTAAATATAATTGTGTCGGTGTAGCACTCAACATGGCTCTCACTACTTACTAACGATTGATTTCAACTAGGAGGCTGCTGTCTTTACCTGGAATGGTCTTTTAAAGTGCCCACACCCCTTGGCCTCTACAGCCTTCTATGAGACTCTCCTCAAGAAATACCACAATGTGTGAAGATTTAATTCTGCAGTTGGTCACTACAGCAAAAAAAAAATTGGAAACAACCTAAATGTCCACTGATGGGCGATGATTCAATAAATTATGGTATATCCAGCAATAGAGGATTATCTGCACCTGAAACTGAGAAAGGAGCTATAGATTAATTGAAATGAAAAAATGCTTGTAAGATAGTTTAGTGAAATAGCAATTAGAAATTGCACATCTAGTGGATGATATTTTTGTAAATATGTGGTTGTGTTTATGTACAGAAATCCAAGGTTGTTTAATGGTGTGAAAGAAACACTCATAATGTTAAGTGGAACAAAGCAGGACTTAAAAGCAAAAGAGAGAGGCTCCATGCTGTTTTTCAGAAACATCCTTCCTAGTAGGTTTAAACTTTCAAATGCATGGCTGTCAAAGGAGAGAACAGATTCCAGAGATAGTGAGCTCCCTGTCAGTGGAGGAGTTCAAGGATGAGTCTTGGCAAGGAGTGTGGAGGGGATCAAAACATCAGGGATTGGGTGCGAGGATCGTTAAGTCCCTCAAACTGAGCCAACGATTCCCATATTCTCACAGAACAGTGCCTGACCCTGAGACCCAGGTGGGGCAAAACATGGTTGTGATTGGCGAATAAATGTACACGGGAATGATTTGCCTGCCTTTTATGCAAACACTGAGATTACAGTAACTGAACGGTGTTATAATGATGAAACTGATTTTGTGCTCAGTGCAGCTTGGGGTACCCCATCGCAGAGGCACATTTACAGTGATCTCTGTGCCTTTTAAGTAGTAGGAAGAGCATTCTGTAAGCATGACTCTCTGAGAATTAAAGCAGAAGACTTATTTCCCAGCACTGAGCCTGTGGTATCTGGGCAGAGAAAACATTCCAAAGCTTTGAAGTTGCCTGGAATCCATTTCTTTTAAAAAATTCCCTGCAAGCCCATAGCCCAGTGAACTCAGGTTCTCTGAGTGCCAGTTAACACCATGGGCAACACCTGTGTGCTCATAGGATTATGGGGAAAAGTGGAGATGAATTTTCCCAGTGGCAAATGTGAACTCCCATGGTGTGAATGTCTACCTCCTCTGCTCCCTGGGGCTCCCAGGGGCTCCCAGGGGCTCCCAGGGCAGGCTGGCTCATGCCCCACTTAGGTGGATGCACACATGCCCAGCAGCTGCTGATGTGGGTGTGAATGTCCCAGTCTGTTCACTCCTCCTGTGAACGTAGACATGAACCACAGGCATCCTCTGCCCTCTAGGAGCTCCTGGTGCAGAGGAGAGGAGCTCGTGTGAGCAGAGAGGTCTCCATAAACAAGCCATACCTTTGAATCTCAAGCATAATGGTCAGGCCATGCATGGAAGGCCCCCATCTAGGCTGAGGGAGTGTGGAATGCCTGTCTCCAGGCCTCTGCTGGGCCAATCCTGGGTAGAAGGAGAGGTGGGTTTCCAGAAGGAAGCCCCGTGAGTGAGGGGTGGGAGTTGTACAGGCACAGGTTTCAATTCAGTACTGTATAAGGGAGGACACAGCATGATGCAGAGGGGCGTCAGATGCTGAGCAGCCAGAGTAAAATGATGGAGGGCTTGCCCTCCTGCTGTAAACAATGATAACACCTGGACAAATAAATAAAGCTTCTGTGTGCAGGCACTGGATGGTATTTTCCAACATGGGGCTGTGCTCCTTGAGCGAGGAGCATGCAATGTGAGTCCCGCAGCTACCCCAGCACTCTTGCTGGGGAGGTTTTCCAGGCCACGGTGCGGAGAGGTGGAGCCCAAGCCGATGGCAGGTCTGCTGGACAGAAGAGGCAGAGATCAGACTTCAGGGCTCAGGCACCTGGATTTTGAGGGGAGGCAGATATAAAAGAGGGAGGAAACACAGAGGGGGAATGACGGAAGTATGTGTGGAATTTCCCCTTCAACTTTTGGCTGATCCTGAGCTGCTCAAGTGCAGGGTGAGCCCTGGAGGCCCGGCAGAGAGCAGCTGCTGGGAGGCTGAGAGCTGAGTGGAGATGCCGGGGCTCACATGGTGCCGATGGGATGGAGGAGGTCAGGCCCATCCAGAGCTGCATGCCCAGCCCCATGGGACCCCTTCTCCCAGCTCAGAGACACCAGGCAAGCAGCCACCCACGGGAAGAGATCTGAGTTTCAGCTCCAAGGGCTTATCCTATAGGCTACAAAGTGTAAATAATTCCAGCCTTTCCCTTTGTTTTTCTAGCCCTGATAGTGGTAGCTGCTTCCTGCAGTTGCTACCACCACGTTACCCAGTCAACAATTCTTTATGTGAAATTCCTTTTTTCTTTTTAACCTGATTAGACCCTGAGTGATGTATCAGTTACCAGGAATGGTCCCAGGAAACAACCCTCAAAGATGGATCATGATCAGAGAACCAGAGACCTTAACTAGACATAAGCGCCAATAATTATATAAATTATTTACTAAAACAATAAATTTGTTTCTTACAGCTGCAGGGTCAGTATTGCTGAAAATGACATCCAATGTAATAGTGTGGGCTGCATAATTACAGTATGCATTGAATTTACAGCCTGTCAATCTCTCTTGTGAAAGTTAGGCTGTCGGTTAGGAAGGAGTGGGAACCTGAGAGTTAGAATGCAGATGTCAGGGCGGCCCCAAGTGAGGCTGAGTCTTGAGCCTCTGAGTTGTTCTAAGCCTCCCCTGCCAGTGGAAGCCGCTCGCCAGTTATGTGTGGGAATACTCACTTCACCTTGCTTCAGGATCCTGCTGTACAGTCACCCAGGACAGTGACCTTGCAAGGGATGCCTTTTCTCCTCAAGACCTAGCCCAACCACTCCTTGTGGCCACCAGACTCGCTGTTGTCACCAGAGCCCCACAGGCTCAAGCAGGACAGGCAGACTCCCCAGAGTCTGATCCGGGGAGGTGCAGCTTCTGCATGGGAAAAGTGGCCAGGTTTTGCGAAATTACGTTGCAGCATCTTAGGGAATATATGCAGGAATAGATTCCAAGGCTGTTAGACCAAGAAGGCCAGTTGAATAAATTCAGTAAAGGCTTGAATTTATTGATACAAGTGCCTGACCTGAGATTATGGGTTTAAGGTGTTGGTTTGTGCAGTCGTGAATGGCTGTAGTTTACTTAGCTGTTTGAGTGAAACTGAGACTCGGTGATGACCATCTTCCCTAGCATGTTATAAAGGAAGGAATCGAAAGGCTTATGGGAAGTATTGGGAAAGATTTATTATTGACAACCTGCACACGCACCCACCCACTCCATTCCCCAAGGGGGCCCAGAGGACTTTCCTTTCCCTACGACATGGGGAAATTCAGCAGTATCCTGGACAGGCTCTGTGGTGGCTCTCCTCTGTCGGTATTGCTGAAAATGACATACTGACATTGCTGAAAATG